TTACACTGTTTTATCTGTTGGTGCTGTTGGGTTGTGGGGTTTACTTTTTCTGCCTCCCGCGAGCCTGATTCCTAAGGCGGACTGACTGCTCATTTGCCAGTATGCTAGTTTGTTTAAAATATGAGTCAATTGGCCCATCTGAACCAAGTTAGCGCTTTCAATTTATTACTGTGGCATATGTTAAAGTGACACACAACAGGTTGCGGTCTTCCATGCGCTTGTCAAACTGGTGTCTATTTTCTTCGAAGCATTCGTAATTTTTTTCCTTTTATTATTTGGACCGCCGAGGATCTACAACGAAACGTTGCTAAGGACGTAATACTAATTTATATAATTGCGCAGGTTTTATTAGCATTTGATGTCAAATTGAATGATTATTTAGGAACGTCACTGTATTATTTTCGCCATCAGGGAATTGGTGTTTGATTAGGAAAAACCACCACGTTTTACCAGCCAACATTGTCCATGATGGAGGTGTTTTTTTTAAAGAGGGTAAAATGAATCGCACAAATTCTCGGGTCGTTGCTAAAGACCACAAGAGGGGTTCGCAATGTTAACACAGCGAGTTTTTGAAAGGTCTCTTGGGGTCTTCAGCAGCAGTTGGGCAAACCTACTTGTTGCGGTAAGCGTTTAAGATGGCTTGTGATAATTTCTGAAACCGATTTAAAACTATCGGTGGTAAATAAGGAAGTGACCCATTCACGGAGTTGGTACATTCAGGGCTTCGCACAGACAGCACCATTTGGCGATTGTCAGGGTGTTATGGAAATTGTTCGAGGGCAGAAGCGGTTCAAATGGCAGCTTACCGCTAACAAGCAAATAGTCAGGGACTATGAAAATCAGCAAGCATGGGCATGTCTTGTTAGTCAATTAGACATTAAATAGCCCTTGCACCCCGCCCCCAAAGCCCCAACTGTTCGATTCCCACTTCACTCAGCAACAAGCGTCGGTGTCAGGGCGCGCGTTTCACCCGTCAACAGGGCCTCTACGAGGCCAATTAATCACCAAATCCCACAAGGGATAAATATTCGGGGAGAGGCGAGAGGGGTGAGGGTGCGTCTCCACTTGCGGTTTAACATTCACATGTTAGTCAGCACCGAAACTTGTAAATATGATTTAAACGAGGTAGTGGCAGTAGCCGCCGCTGGACAGCGTCTCTGATTCACGCCTGGACTGGGTGAAAAAGAGTTCCGGGTGGGGGAGGACCATTTGATGCCCCTGCCCTTCCCCCATTTCCCATTCGAGCGGACCAGTGACCTTTAAGGCACGTGTGTGAAGTGATAATTTTGGTGATGGGCGTTTAAGGCAGTGCTAGTGACTAACATGTGGTCTTTGTGGCTAGCTCGTTGAGGGCGCCATGGCGTTTTTCCATCGTCGTGCACAGTGCGAAGATTTTGTGGGTTAAAAAGTGACCACCACTACCACTGCTATCATCAACATCATAAACGACATCAACTACCTTTTTAACAGCGACAGCAGTTGCACACGCATTTATGCGGCTAAATTAATGACCTCGTTACAATACGCAGGAATAAATTTCTATTCTTAAGCTTAAAAGCCAATGATTATCTCGGCTTTCAGGATAAACGAGGCAAGTGAGGGATGTCGGTAGAGAAATTGTTAGTTTTATAATATTTATAAAATTCGCCTATCTCCCTTCAAAGAAACAATTACTGAGTCTCCTAGTATCAATCACTGCCTAGAAGTGCTCCCAGAAATGACAGTAAGTGTAAATGAGGCAGCTCGTGGAAAGTCAACTGTTGCGTCTGCACATTGTTGTGCTTCAGTGAACTCCTCTATAGTTCTACGCTGCTATGTGCTTCCTCCAACCCGTCGCCTCAGCAAAATACTTCATGAGGAAATAGCTCTAACAGATCATGCATTCCTATTAATGCAGAGGAACCGAAAGGCGTTATGTCGAGTTCACTTGGAGTCACCTTGAGCGAGGCAATGGCGCCAAGATTCTCCAAAAGGATTTCGGTTTTAAGGGTAAATCAACCTTTCTTATGCACTTAAATGAAAATGCTTTTCTCTTTTAAAGATGTTTGATACTATATTTAAGATTGAGGTATTCCAAAATCTGAGTGATTCCATTCGGATTTTATTATAGTTATCTCGCAGAAAAATATGGAAGAGTGAATTGGACTGCGTTTTGTTGTCGAAGCTGCAGACCGATTCATATGTGGGCGAAATCTGGCCTGTTATAAGTCACCATAAACCGATTCCTTGAGCTTCATGATTGGGCTGTAACTCGTATACTTCCATTTCAGCTTTTTTTCAGAATACAAAATAATTGTGAAACGGATTTGCATACTTACAGACGAGTCCTAGAGATCTTGTCTGCTGGAATACATGACACTTGATGTTTGTACTTTCCTACAAAACCTCAAGTAAAATTACATTGTCGAGCAATTCCTTTCAAAAGATGACGAATTTTCTACGAATTTTAACCAGCATGTTGTTTGTAATTGTTCAATGTTCAAATTTCCCCAAAAGACCTTCTCATCCCCTCCTCTCCCTCGCCCTCCTTCTACCCACTCAGGCGTTCTCACATTCCCATTTCGTCAGGTGCAATTAATTTACATGTGTGCGTGTACGTGCCGATGTGAACTGTTGAGTAGTAAAAAGTGAGTACTGGTGTGCGAATGCATGCGCAGTGCTCTTTGCCTGTGAACTTCGTTGCTTCCGAGATTGCGTAAGCAGATATCACGCGGGCTCCATTAGCCGGCGTCCGGAAATGTTTAAGTGATTTCTGCACATGCTCGCGTTTAATCACCTCAAGTGATGCATAGAACAACTTGACCAGTTTAAACTCTGCGATACAACCAAATTCTGAATGCCCAAATGGTAGTGGGAACTACAAGATAATGGACTTGCCCCTCATTAAAAGCCCCTAGCAAGTTAAGAAAGCGTCTCTGAGTTCGCAAACCAAAGTGATTGCAGACGAGAATCGGAAGCGCGGAGTAGTCTTGGTGGTATTTTTTGCACTCTGTTCCATGGTTGGATGTAACTGCGATTGTTCACAGTTGCAGACCAACGATGCAAATTAAACCCTGCACCTTCCTGTCCAACCAACGTGCTGAACCACGGTGAAGCCCCTGTTTGGTGTCGGGGCCAAAGACGTCGATGTTGAGCGAGTGCTTGCAGCGCTTAAATTGTCAAACTCCTAGGTGACAGGGAATTGCAATGCTCTGTAAAACCTCCGAAGATGTTATTTTCAAGTTTTCCTTTAAACGCATTCGGGCAAATTTAATTGTACATTAATTTCCCCCATGTCACTCAGTTTTGTGCAAAGAAAGCCTCAAATTCTTTTACGAAACCGGCAATCTTTGATTGCTGTTAGTAGCCCTGTTTCAAGGATAAAATCGGGGTATAATCAAAAGCAATTGGACTGCCGAGTCGATTTTGGCAAATGGTGATGCAATCATCAAAAGTACAGAGATGCGCGATGAGCTGCTGCATTCTCAGTAATTTCTTACCAAAAAATTTCCGGCATCTGCCTTACCTATTACCTGGAGTAGTTTGGCTCCTTCGACCTGCATAAGCGGTTACCGAAGTAGCCAAAGTCAGTGGAGCAGAAGAACTCGGCTGAGGTGCTGTGACGAGGCATTTCACACGTACTTCTCGAAGTACTAGTCAAAAATTACTTGTGCGAAACTGTGCTACCTATACCTCCACGTCAGGAAACTAACAAATATTTGGGTTGGAAGATTTAAGTAAAGACCACGGGCGTATTTTGAAGTAATATTTCGAAATTTGTTTAATAGGAAAGCTGTCACATCCACTGAAATCACATAACACACTTTGGGTTCGTGAGGCGCCTTCTTTAGTATAAATGATCGCCTCCCCTGCGGCCCGATCCAGGATGTTCTCAAAGTTGGACACCACGCGCGCTGGGAAGCTCAACTTAGGGCGATGTTTGCACAAGGAACAGCTGGATTTACAGACTTTGATTTGTCCGATTTTCAGTGAAATAATTTCATAATCATCTAGCCCCCTCCCCACACAGGTACAGACATAATGCCTGTTTACATAACTCGATTTTGGGTAGGGAGACGTATGAAATACTGCGAGTCGAGCATACTCATTCGGTGGATGGCTGTAACAACCTTGTCTCAGACCTTGGACATGGCCACAATTCTTTCCGCCGCGGCCCACTCGATAGGTCACCCTTGCAGTTTGCGAGACCTCGGGACCAAACATTACGCCCAACTCGACACTCACTACATGCAATATTAATTTGTCCTACTTGCTTGAATGCAAATGGTCTTGGCATTTTTTTACCATTTTTCAAGGTATCCACAAGACACAACGATATGCTACGAGGACGTAGGCACACTTTTAGCACACATTCGGTCTGGTAGTTGATTCACTTCTTCTGTTGTCCATAAATGTGTGCAATAATTAAAGCCTTCGTGGGTGGTGAAATTTTACACAAAACCTACGGTATCATATGACGACCCACTAAGGCGAACACTTGCATTCCAGCATACTTGAACACGTTTCTTCCGGTGATGCAGTTGTTGCACAATCATTTCTAAAAACAGCCATGCAATATAACAGCTGGTCCTGAATGTGTGAATGAATCCCGAGTGCATGCACATTTTGAGCGAGCTAAAGCCTCTATTGTGCTTTAACCCTTTAACGTTAATCGAGGCTTGAGTTCACTCTCGTAGCACAACAAATACCGAAGATTACCACTAAATTTTAAATTTATTGTTAACCGAAGTACAGGTAGGGTACGACAAACTCATATTCATTTTCACCTATATGAAATAGGTTTTTAGTCAAGCGTTTCATAGAATTAACATAGAGTTAACATAGAACCGAAAAGCAAGACGGATTAAGTATCGGCCTGAGTTAATACTATAATCAGATAAAATGTTTGTAAAAACTTGCAATGATAAATAAATTTTATGGACTGCATAGGATCCTCTTCAGGGTGCACTCCACTCAACTCATTTCGTTTCTGCAGATGCCAACTCCACCTCCGCAAACAGTCATGCCAACCCGACACCACCACGTCTCTCCACCACGCCGATACAAGGCTTTCCGCCTCCTCCACAGTTTCCATTCCCCCACCCCCCCTCAAACTCTCCTCCTGTCTGAAGACGAGAGTTGAAGAAGGCGAGGAGAAAGCCAGAGTGCGAGTCAGGACTGTGAGGAGGCTTGGAAGAAGGTGGCAGTGGCAGCGGCTGGCGTTCGAACAGACTTGACGACTGTTGATGAATGGGACAGAGTGCTGTTGTGATGGCGGCTTCTGGCATCGCTATCCGTTTCGACTCACACGTTTCCCAACATGCTTTGCATCTGCATGTGACTACTGTTGTCTATGGGGCTGGTGAGTATGACCTCGACGGCAATCCAAAGAGACGCACGCGCTGTGAATTCTGGTGGCTCACTTGGCTCTTGCACAAGCCGTAGATGACACTACAATTCACTATGTGACATGCGTTGCGTTGTGGAGCACGGTGCATGTGGAGTCGCGACCAAACGTAGGCCCTGCCCAACTGACTTCCACCTTTGACGCATTGACTCGAAAGCGGTCAGTTGGCGAACGGAGGTGCTGCATCGCCACATGCCCGGTGGGACACGTGGAGATGTAGGTCATGGCGATCACGTGGAGAAATGCTGTTTGAGCGAAGCGAACTGCACAAACAGTCGACAGTCTTCTTCTGGTGGAGTGCAGCAGAATTTTATTTTGTTTGCATTGATTGGCTGATTTCGTCGTTGCAGAGGTGCCCCATCCGCCTCCATGTCATCGCTGGCGGCACTTTATGACACCCCAGTTACTTGACCTATTTTCTTTCTGCGTTTTTGTCAAACATGATGTTGCCTTTTCTTCTGGGGGAAATATTTCGGCGAGTTCTAAAGAGACCCTCACAACCCTAAGGGGTTGACGGCAACTTTGACTATGTTTACTTCAGCAAATCGATCTCTGTCAGTTACTTGTTTCCATTCTTTTGGTTTTCGTTTCCTCATGGGAGGTTCGACGTTTTTTGAGTTAAAATGACCGCCACCGTAACCACCACTGCTAGAAGGATTTATTACGTAGAATTCTTTACCGTGCCTTGCGAAGCCGTTTATCAGGCATCCTGTGTGAACAGGAAGCTTGTTTAAATCATCTCAGCCTTGAAAGACTGTATCACACGCATTTTAAATCTGCAGGTGATTTGAATAAATGCTGCAAAAGAACTTACAGATCGAAGTTTATTGTGATAATTTTGTCATGAATTTTTAAGCACTTATCATAACTGCTTCAAAGTCTAGGATTACTAGATTATATTAAAATAATGCACAAGCTTTGATCCAACTGTCGGGGACTGACACTAAAGCAACCGAATCAGGAAACTACATTCATGATTTGTACGAGCCTGATTAACAGGCGGTTAAATCCAACGGTAAAGTGAAGTAGTTGACTGAAATGGCACGACGCATGTACAACTGACAATGATTTTGAATTGGTATTGCAGAAATAGAAGAAGTTGTAGGACAGACTTTTGACCACAAATCTAGATGGATTTTAATTTCAAAATAATGATGAGTGCCATCTCTTGGCAAATCTATCATTTACTGGGTGTGTTGACTTAGTTTAACTTAAATATCAACGTTCATTTAGATAAGGGCAACCTCATAAAACACACGAACGAAATTAAACTAAATTGCGACTTGAATTTTACTGCATCCACTGGCCGACTACTTTCAGAACGTGACGTCCAGTCTAGTGCCACTGTGAGCGCATTCGGGAATGCACCCCGCTGGCCTGCCTCTGATCGGTTAATGGAGGGTCGAGGAACGTGCCAATTGAGGTTTGTTGACTTTGGATAGTTAAATTAGCTGACTTCCATCCCCCCTCCCAATCTGGACTGACGTCATCGGGAAACGCGCTACCCTCTTGGCGCCCACCTACGTACCATCATTAGAGCCGGTTGAAGTTGGCTGCAAGGATACTACCAAAACGCGAATTCCAACGATAATGGTTTTGTTGGGATCACGAACGAATACGTTTTCGAGTGAAGGCATAGCCAAAGTGAGTCCACTTTCCCCAGACCAGAAGGGGCTTATCTGTCTCTTGACTCATGGTGCGGCTGACATATTCGTAACCAGAAAAGTATACAGGAAAATATCGTTGGACTAGTTAAAATGGAGATGCCGACGTGATATCGTCAATTGTTACAAACGGAGAACGGGAAAAATTAGTATTTAAATCACCACTGGAAGCCATTAAGTAGGCACAAAAGGAATCCACCATGGCGGTGAGATCGGCTAGTAAATACCGGACGACAGAAAAGCCACAAACCCAATGAAGCAGGAAGGCGAGACAAGACGAGATGGAGGGAAAGAGGAAGGGAGGGAGAGCAAGGCAAGGTCCATGTGAAATTTGACATGCGACTGAACCAACCTCATTAGTCAATCTTGATAATAAATTGGCTTACCGCTGCTGCTTGTCTGCTACAATTCTGGACACCGCTACCTTCATCAACAGATTAAACTCACTAGCTGCTTTTGGAAATAATTAATGTCGAATTTAATTATTATTATTGCTTCCCTTGAAGGAGGAAAATTTAATTAGGGGAAAGATTTCATTTATTAAATAGCATAACTGACAGACAAGCGGATTTCTAGGGCAAGGAATAAGATTAATTAGACTTTTTGCTGGAATGTCAAAACGAAAAGTTGCCAATTCGGTGGATTACATAATTTTAAAGCACCTCGCATGAGGTTTTCGTCGTTAAAACTAAGTTTTATCTTACTTCTTTGCCTATATTGAAAGATATTTTCAGCTTTGCCCTATTTTTTGTGATAATTTTATTCGATGCGGCAGTTTCATGTTCACACAACTAGTCTGCAGTGGGTGCTTAAGAGCTGTCAAGGTTCTTTTTATGAAAACACATTTTTATTAATGATTTATAAAAGGACTTGCTTGCGCTCGATCAGATTCCCACGATACTAGGAACAATGGGATAATAGGTACTCGTGTCACAAATCAGAACCTTAGTTATTACAAAGCAAATTATCACTGTCTTTACCTACTACTTCCGTACAAAGGCTTACAAAATAATCAAACTGCGGAAAGGTGAGGCAATAAAAGAAATTTTTATAAAAGAATTAGATGAAATAATGAAAATGGTTGAAGAATTAACCCACAGGAAAAACACTCACATTGATAGAATCTGTGTCGCCTTTTAGTAAAAATGAAAGACCAGTGACAATTGCACGTCTATAGTCAGGGAATACCAAGAGCGTTCTTAATCTGAAGCCTAAACACAATTAGTGCATTTGCCCTGAAAATGAACTTTTGAGTTGTGTGACTTTGGGCACGTTTGTGTCCACGAACTTGGCCAAAATCAAGGCGTTTGAAAATGCAGGCTCAATGTAGTCATGGGCCGTGTGTACGTTCCCTGCCAACTGACAACTCTGATGTTCCATGCACACATGTTCCCTTTAATTCTGGTAGCTCCCACTGACTCAGTGTAGGTTATGCTTCCATAACCGAAGGACTAATGTTATCCGCAAGCCTTGGTGGTTTCAATGTTTGAAATCTTAGGGTGCTGACAATCACAGTTTGCGCATCCGACCAATCTCCGGAATGATAGACACAAAGATGAACGCTTTTAGGAGCAAAAATGAATGTCGAAGAGTGGCGCAGTTAGCAGCTGCATGATTCTGTGGTCTTCTTTTCGGTCAGCGTATTTAAAGATGGCATTTTTTCACCATATTTTGTCTTTAGCCCTGCAACAAAATTTGACAGCTAAGTAATTACACTAAGGCAAAAATATTGAAGTAAATTTCAGATTAGTTTTTGGACTGCACACATTCACGTGCATTCATATGAAACCAACAGACATGGATTTTAAGACAAAAGAGATCAATTTCACTGAAGTACCGAAAGTGAAGAAATTAGATATCTTGACCAGTGTCCTCGAGCCATCTCGTGGTTTCTGTGGCAAAAAAACCACCTAATTTATGAGTTGGCAATTCTGTCCTTATTTTGGACCCAACACAAGGTACCTCGAAAATTCCGACAACACAGCAACATTTTGAACTAATTTTACTTCTGTCCATTTGTCCATCGCACTGATGTGTTGCATATTGAGAGCGGCTCGATTTGCCCAAGTTCTGGGCTCAGCGACCTCCGCCGTGTGAATTTTGGTCGCTCGACTCAAACTTCATTTAGGCGGTTGCACGAGAGCCCCATGAGAACTAAACGAGAAGCAGTTCGGTGTCGTAAGGCGGATGAATATCACGCCTGATTTTAACTTGTGGAACATTCTGTGGGAGTGAGGTCAAGGGAATCAGCACTGACTCCAACTCGCAAACACTTTGATTAAAAAAGACTCTCCAAGGCACCGGGTTTCGACTCAACTGGATAAAATACAGCGCTAGTACTAAAGATTAAGATTTCTACGAATCCATGTACTACTTCGACTTTTGAATAATAAGAACCTGGGAATTCTGCAGCTACCACACTTCAAATGTTTTCAGGTTTTCATAAATGTCCCAGGGACAATTTTTGGAGTATTTAATTACAAATCAACTTAATGGAATTGTTTAAGTTCTGAGTAAATTGAAATATGGTTGCAGTTTTAGCAGCAAAAATATAAAATGAATGAAAAGTACTTGTCCTACAGAATAACTTTTGTTTCAATTTCAAAATCGAAATGCTGAAGACTTGATTGTTAACGAAATATCACGACAGATATGTCAAATCCACAAGTTGTGCTAATCTACCACTTTGTAAAATTAAATGAAGACTGAACTATTCTTTTTGCATCGTAAATCACGTGCATGCTCTACTCCACCATGACATCTATCGGAGAGTGAACATAAAACGACCGAAACCTTATAGTAAATGGCGGATTGAAGAAAAAATCAACCGATTGTCAGGTGTTTCTCAATTACGTGATTCAAGGTTTCCTTATGGTGACAGGGGCAAAGTGTTCGGAGTACCTACTTGGTCATGATGAGAAATCCGTTAGATCTATTTGTGAGGCAGATTTACCACTGTTAAACTTCAGTCAAGTGAGACGACCTGTTATCTGTGTTTGCCTTGTTGAGAATTAAGTTCCCGTGAAGAAACTCAAATGTGCGATCAGCAATTCAGCAAAAAAATTAGGTTCCCATAGATATAATCAATCTGTTCTCGCCACATTTTCGAGAAAAGTGAGAGGGATGGCTTTTACCTCCATCGACTCCATTTTTGCTTGTTTTGCGGTCCTTTGGTTGTCTGAAATTCGTCAATTTTAATCAATTAGGCATGCAGAGTGCGGTTAGATTGATTTGCTGGCATAAAGTTGCTCTCTACGCATCCTATTGTAAATTACTTTAAAGTTAAGTTATACTATGATTAAAAGGTGGCTAAGCAGTTCATGAGGTGTAAATAAAATATGCGTCCAAAAACTTCATGTCATTAAAGGTATGTTATTAGGTTAATGGTTAAAACCTCAGTCCCAAGGAAATACGCTTCCTTTACACTACCCGCGATGCATCAAGTCACACCATGCAATAAATAGTCAGTTACGATGGCGACTCTGATTATATCAAGAGTAACATCCACAACCGCTTGTCTCCTTTACAAAATGGGCAACATTAACAATATCGATTCAAAAAGGGATCATTCTGATAAAGTACAATGAAGTACATACTTCCAGTCCTCAATTCAGAAGTGAAATCATGTGACACTGTTCCAGACTACGATCCACAGAAATACGTTTAGTTAACAACTTTTTTGAGGTAACCCATGAAAGTGGTGCGATGTTAGGGCATCCATTGTTGTGCATACCACAACGTCTTTTGATTAATTACCCAATCTGATGTTGGAGTGAAAGTGGTTCTGGATAACAGTAAAATGCACGCACACATTCACGTGTGTGTGTGTGTGTGTATAAACAGCAATGCAAACTCTCCCAGCCGACAAAACGAGATCAAAGAGCGTTCTTTCAAGCGGAGGCATGCAGAAACACAATTTTAGACGGCCCGTGGCGGTGGTGAGGACGGCGACCGCGCGAGAAGTGGCCCATGCACCCCCACGCACCTTTAGCACACGCACCTTGTGCATGAACTTTATACACATCTCTTTCATTACGGCACTTAAATGTCGAATGACTCGGAGGGTCAATTTATTGCCCCCCTGTGGAAAAATAAATTGAAAGTTTGTTCACGCCAGAATCTCGGGTTTTGTTTGTGTGATTGTGTGTTATCGATAGTTGCAACTGCTGCAGAATTCCATTCCCGAAAATTATTACTGCCAGGACTGCACGCAGGTCCCAGTAAGGACTTTTGCCTCCGTTTGTTTAACTTCCAACTGGCGAATGCAGCAAGGACACTGGGTAATGAATTAACAAGTGAACATTGTCACTCAAAACACAGAATATGCAGCAACTGTTTTTAGCTGAGGTGTACTGTGAGAGAAACGGCTTTTATCGACTAAAAATTGACCGCGAAATTGGCTTTACTGGTCTAAGCTACGGCTTCCAAATTTCAAGGTAGACCACCCTCTGAGTTAGGAAGAGCCCCACAAAGTCAAGTCAAAAACCATTGTCATTGAAACCCACTCAAAGCAAATAGTTGTCTATTTTTCCTGTGGCCACGGTGTGCTGACCAATTGCCACCAGATACATTCAGTCAGGGATGCGATGCTGCTACACTAGTGAACCAAAATCATAGCCAAAATCTGTTTTACAGTTTTGTGCATTAAGTCAAATAAGCGTTCGTGGAAAGTCGCTCTGTGTTGACCAACATGTGTCTAGTAGAGTCCAACTCCTGGGTTTACACTCTACTTGTGCTGTTACTTCAACTCAATTAACCTCTCAGTCACGCATAAAAGACAGGATTGCATAAGAGACTCCGGTCTCTCTCTTCTTCCAAGCAAGTATTTAGCACTGCAGACTTTAGTTTCAGCTGACATTTTTATATGTATTAAGCACAAAGAGCAAAATGCGCTTGGTTTGGTTGTCTAAAGCACATTTTTTCCAAACCGCATCTCGTTCTGGCCAGCGAATTATCAAGAGGCCTGGGGTCAT